AGGAAGGGGGAAAGCTATGATTTAAGAGTACAATTACCCAGAGGAATACTTGATCTCATTATTCTCTGCATAGCTCTAAAGCCTACAGAAGACTCGCTTTTAGGAAGCAAATAGAGCAAGCGAAACAAACTCTGCCCGTTAGTAACAACTATTTCCAACAGTTTTAATTAATGCATTTTGGTTTGCTATAGGGTGTGTGAGCTTGCCGAAGGGACAGAGAGAGAGAGGGACAGGGAGGAATCACCTGGGAGATGGAGTGGCCACCCTGCAATCCTTTCTCCTTCATGCTCCTCTCAGGATTTGGGGGGATACATGCACATGCACCTGGCATGTTTTTCTAGCTGCCAGGTCTGGGATTTGAACTGCTCAGTCAGTCATTTGAGATCTAGCCACCTTAACCTTCATGCTACCTGCTGGCCCCTAAAAAAATTTTTAAAGCATTTCCTTTTTTAAAAAGTATTTATTTAATTTTATTTATTATTACTATCATTTAAATATGACCAGAGACAGAGAGAGAATGAGAATGCAAGCCACCAGGTCTAGGATTTGAACTGCTCAGTAGTCATGTGGGAGTCCAGCGCCTTAACCACCACGCCACCTGCTACCCCCTAAACTGTATAGACACTATTCATTGCTGGCAAGAATGCAGAACTAGATCTCTCATACATGGGTGTGTTGTAAACACATGCTACGGTCTGAATGTCCGCGAGCACCCGAAGTTCAGGTACTGAAACCAAGGTGAACGGTGCTCGAAGATGGGCCCTTTGGGAGGAGATTAGATGACGAGGGCAGAAGGGGGCTTGTGCCCTTAGAAAGGAGGCTGCCCTGCCAGGTGAAGACGGTCATAAGTTGGCAGTCGACAACCCACAAGACCTTCGCCAGACCCCGACTATGCCGGCACCCTGATCTTGTACTTTCTAGTCTCCAAAACTGTGAGAAATACGTTTCTCCTGCTGTCCAAGCCTGGTGGCACAGTCAGTAACAAACTGAACGTCAGTGCCAGAAGCCCCAGGGTGACTGGATTCAGAGCCCCAGGATGGTCTGAAAACACGCCAGGCATGGGAACCAGCAGTTAGCGTAATGGCTATGTCGCTGGACTCCCACGTAGTCAACCGCGGTTCGTGTCCCGGACCCGGTGGCTTAAAACTCACGCCGGGTGCGTGTGCGTGCGTGCCCAAGATCCCGAGAGGAGAATGGAGGAGAAGGGATTGCGGCGTGACCATCCCCCCTGGGGGGTGATTTCTCGCTTTCTGTCTCTCTGTCTCTCTCTGTCTGTCTGGTGAGCGCACGCGCCCTACAGTGAAAATCTCTCCAAAAAAAAAACAAAACAAAACACGCCAGGCATGTGTGCACGTGCTCAGGGTCATGAGGATCTAAAGGGCTGGGAAAAGGGGGACTGAGAGTGAAGACACCCATCAGAGGGGGCTTCTCACGTACTTTCCTAATGCATGAACACTACTCTATCATAAATAGCACGATAACCTTCTTTAAACAATGTTCTATTAGGGCCAGTAGGTGGTATGGTGGTTAAGGTGCTAGTTCCCACATAGCTGATTTTGTGATTCAGGTCCTGGACCTTTCAGTGGCTTGAAAATCACACTGGGCACATATGTGCAAGCATGCCCCAAATCCTAAGAAGAGTGGAAGAGAAGAGATTGTGGTATGGCCATCTCCCCTGGTGAGTGATTTTTCTCCTCATACTCTCTGTCTCTCTTGTCTTTCTACAGTGAGAACATATGGCAAACTAAAAAAAAAAAAAAAAAATTACAGAAAAATAAGTTTTATTATTTACAAGTTATCCAGCCTATGACATTTTATTAGAGCAGAAAACAAAACAAAACAAAAACCAAACTACTAAAATACATTTAGCCTACAATCCAGTAGTCACATTTTTAGTTATTCATCCAAGAGGAATGAAAACCCATGTCCACCCGAAAGCCGTGTGCATGCTGATAGCTTTCTTCATATTACCCCAGACCAGAATGGATAGCGAATCATAGTCCATCCAGGCAAATGGGTACGACCCAGTAATAAGAGGGAACACGTGGCTGACGCGTGCGGAACCATGCATTAGGCTCAGAGAGAGGAAGCCCGAACGCTACATGGTGTGCCATTCTATATAACACGTGAATGGAGACCTGCAGGGAAGACAGCAGGTCACAGGCTGCCACAGGCCAGGGGCAGGGCAGTGGACAGGCTACAAAAGGGAGGGAACCTTCTGCAGTGATAACACTATGTCTTGACTGCAGAGGTGGTTGCGTGACTACAAGCACTTGTCAGAATTCATAGAACTGTAGGCCTTAAAGAGGCCTTTCATTGCATGCAAATGGTACTGACTCAATAAAACGGATTTTAAAACGAGTCATTTTGTGACTTCCTAAATATCATGCTGATGTTGATAAGCTTTCAATCATGCTCTCCGAGCAAATAAGCATGGGGTAGGGGCGGGGCAGATCAAGGAAAGGGGGAGTGACCCATTTGCTTTGCAAATAACCAGCTCAGATGCTACACTGCAGCTACTTCTCTCTGTCTGAGACAGATGCCGTCCTGACAGGGTCCAAGACTGACTGCTCTCAGAGAACAGTGGCCACCACCTGTCGCAGACACCTGCTTATTGGCCACACCATTCACGGGTGCCTGGATACGAAGGGTTAGGTAACTGCTGGCTTTGTGGTTTGCTTAGCTTTAAAGATCTCTCAACCATGTCACTGGTGGTGGTTTCATTATTAATAGCAATTTCAGTAAGCCAGAAAAAACTTTGATGGTCAAATATAAGTTTAATAATCTCTTTATCAAGTCCTCCCAATAAATGTTCATTGCCTTCCTTTCACTCTGCTCACGTTTGTCACATACATCTCTGTAATACAGACACAGATCTATACTTGCCATACATTCCTACCATTGCATTGCCTTTGGATCAATACAGAATTACAGGGATC